TGATGGTGTAAATATAGCGGGGTGGGTTAACCGGGTTTGACCTGGACACACTCGACCCGTAATATAAAACACACAACAAGAACACAAAGTATGACCTAGACCGGGTAAATCTCCTCAGTCCGAATTATATTTCTTACTCTATCTCAAGAGTGAACTTTAGTGAGAGAAAAATTGGATCCCCTCCTCTATCCAATATCATCATATTTATAGAGGAGGATTTGTGACCTTCCCCTGTTCATCCATGGACAAAATAGGAAGCTCGTGGGAAGGTCACTGTAGATAATGGGAACACTGTACAATCATAGAATTTAGCAACTATAGGCCAAGACATGTACTGTTCAATCAAAGACTAAAATGGATATTCTCAATCCAATCAACCCTGCAAAATGACAAACATCCCTTTCACTGTGTGCCTCGTGATGGATGAGCGGCGGGGTGTCCCCTTGACCTCTGACGTGGTTCACCATGCCTAATAGACTGAACCAATGTTAGCCAAGTAAAGTGATATGACCGGTCACCTTCTCTCAAAAGTTACCCGGTCATTCTTTGTGCTTAACCCGTCTCTGGTCTTCTAAAATGTCCTTTGTAACATTAGGCGACATTTTGGCTATCGCCCAAAATGTGACCGGTCACTTTTTTAGTGGAAGTGACCGGTCGACTTTTGACCCGTCCCAATCGAAAAGTTAGCCTCATTTGGTGATTGATAAAAGTGATCGGTCATATTTTGACCTGTCCCTTTCGGTTGTCCGGGTCGGGTATAAGGATATACCCATCATGAATGTTATTTGATGACTTGAGCATCTTATGAGACTCCGTTAGCAAAATTGATAACTTTTATTCCAGAAACCCACTCTCCTAATATCTCTCGATCTCCTTTCCCGATTGGCTACACAGTGGTCATTGTAGCCAATCAACGAAGAGAAAGGGGGATAGGGAGACATGTGATTGGAGAATAAGAACCATCAGTTTTAGCAACGGAGTTTCGTAAAAAGCTCGAGTTATCTTTTGACATATTGACATCGAGTTTATTTAATGTCGCAGGACCCGCGTCAAGAAAAAAAATCACAATGCAAAAAAATAATTTTCTCATTAAAGGGGTGTGACATGAAATAAGAAGTGGTGTATTTTACGCCAAGATGTAATGTTGGTGGATCATGGAACACTCACTAACGCCAAAACAGGAAGTGAACAATGAAAGACACATTTCCACTCAAAGCAAAATCAATCAACATGTATATATGACGAGATCTGATTCATTGAATAAAGTCTTTTTTTTTTACGTTCATAAAAATTCAATGAAACAAATTAAATACTCCCCATTTGTTTGACAACAGATTTTACTTTAAATTTTAGCAGTTTGTAAGTGTAACAATATATTTAGCTTCAATATTTTCAAACTTAATATATACCACTAAAAATACCGAGTATTGAATTTGAAGTGTGACATGCATTAATTGAAAGTGTTATTTTCACAAAAGCAAAAAAATATGTTTTTGTACCAGGAAAAAGAAGATAAAAGCACGTCCTGCTTTAATTTATTCTCCCATGTCATTTAATTTCCTTTTTATCAATAAAAAAAAACTCTCCCAGTCATTTAATTTTCAAACACTTCTTCTAAGTTTTTTTCCAATTTCTTTTAGGTTTTTGAACTTTTTTGAGTTTTTTTGGTTCCTTTATTTTTCTTATAATATCTTCCAATTTCTTCCAATTATAACTTAAAACATTATTTAGTTATTTAACACTCTTACTATCATCATCATCATCCCAGTAAAAAATTATGTAATGTCACAATCGATTAAAAGAAATATGTTCTTAAGATATCTTTAGTTATCATTATAGAGTTAATGTAAATTGTTAAAATATTAAATTGATTAATTTATTATTTCCTTTGTTATTTTAAAGTATTCTTTGACTATGTTTCATTAAATGTGTTCTACTCAATGTTTTAAAATTTTGGTCAGAAATTTTGGAAACAAATATTTTGAATTGTGTAATTAAGTTTAATATCAATATACTCATTTTGAAACACTTTCTTGAAATAATATTTTGATAGTATTAGTTATAGTAAATTCTTTGAGTAATTCCATAATTGGTCATTTATAATAGGAGGTTTCCCTATTCAGTTCTCTATTATCAAACATTACCCCAGTGGTCCTTCTTTTATGGGTAACTTTCCATAAATAGTCCTTTTTTTTATCTTCTATCATGTTGGAGTTAATTTGAGGGCTAAAAATGTGATCTCACAATGATAATATATCTTTTTTGTCATACAGAATTCTAAAGGTTGTTCCGTTTGCGTCGTTTGTGAATTACATTCGCTTTCTACTACAACCATAGTCTATAAATGGGGTCTTACGTCAGAATCTTAGCCCATAATCATAGTCAATGTTTTTGTGTTATCTGTTTAACCAATATCAGAACACGTCACTAGACATAATGTTGATGTCAAATTATACTTTTAGCCTTTAAATTAACACCCACATGACGGAAGATAAAAAAAGGACCATTTGTGGAAAGACACCCTTAAAAAAAGGACTACGAGAGTAATATTTGATAATAGAGGACTAAATATGGAAACCCCCGGTTATAAGGGACCAATTATGGAATTTACTCAAATTCTTTTGTGGTCCTAAGGTTCACACTCATTTTATGAATTTCGGTATATAAATATCATAGATTAAGAGCCTGTTTTTAGGATTGGAAAAAAGAGCTGAATGTTGGAAAAACTAGAACAAACTGAAAGGAATTAGAAGAAACCAGAAGGAATTGAAAGGAATTGGAAGAACTCGAATAAACTGGAAGGAATTGAAAGAAACTGAAAAAATTAAAAAAAATCTGAAAAAACTAGAAAAAGTTAGAAAATATAAAAAAAACTTTTAAATTTTTTTGTGTGTTTTTATATTATTCTATTTCTAATTCTTGTTGTTATAAATTATTATTACGGAGTATTATTATTATTATTATTATTATTATTATTTTCGTTGTTTTTATTGTCATTGTTGGTGTCATCATGTTATCTTAATAAATTTCTTTAAGATAAAAAAAAATATTTTTATATTTCATACAAAAAACTACTTTTGAAAAAAATTTAAACAGAATATAAAATTTGCATAACTACTCTTAATTTGTATATGAATATAAATATTAATGATTAAAAGATCTCATGTCAGTCTATAAAAATATAAGAAAATCATCATTTTACATGTGGACTTATGATCATTGAAGCACAACTACTCTTAATTTGTATATAAATAGAAATATTAATGATTAAAATTTTGAATGGGAGAGCGGGAAAGGTTTTTATGGATAATAAATATATGTATGGGAAAGATGGAGTATTTATTTGGAATGAACATTATTCTCTTGAGTCTTAAAGGTATTTTTTGTCACATATAAAGTCCGAATTATACCTCCATATTGACTAATCGATCAGCTTGAATCATGTTACTTATATCATCATCTATTTTTTCATTGTCTTGAATGATACACCCAAGATACTTAAATCACCGTTTCACTTGAGATATAGTATTTTCTCAAACTTTCACCTCAATGCTAGTATTTCTTCTTCTATTGTTAAACTTGCCCTGCATATATGATGTCTTAGTGCGACTATTATGGAAGTCATGCAACTCCAAAGCCTGTCTCAACAAATCTAACTTCTCATTTAGATTTTCTTGTGATTCGCCCATAAGGATGATGTCATCAACGAAAATCATGCATCATGATACGAGTTCTTGGTGTAATCTAACACCTATGAAAAATAATCATGCCAACCCACTTTGGATTCTCACACTCTTTATAGCAACATCATACATGTTCTCAATGACACAAATATAAGCAATACTTCCTTTTTCTTTAACATCTCTCACAAGACTTCTCTTGTTACCTTGTCAAACGTCTTTTCCAAAATAATAAAATCTATGGGTAAATATCTCTTCTCACTTAGGTGTCTCTCCATCATTCTCCTCACCAAGTGTATATCTTTTGTAGTTGATCTTTCTAGCATAAAACTAAATTGGTTCTCAGACATCTAGCTCCAGTTTCTTGTCTCAGCCCTCGTTATACTCCTATTGCTGGCCACCCCTGCTTATCATTAATGAAATTATGATTTGAAATCTCTGCAAGCAAATTTGTTTTAGATTTCAACACCCATGTCATTTTCTCGAGACATCATGACTCATATCTTATCATAATGCTAAAAGTCACCAAAAAGATCCTAGATTTATCTTAAAGATAACTTTCAAAAATATGTTACTTCTGGCATCTAATTGTATTGATATGTAATACAAAACTATAGTAATTGAAAGTTTCGTAATAAAATTTATACAATTTGATGTGTAAAAATTAAACTGGACAAATACACTAAAAGAGAAGGAGTGTTTGATTACGAACGTTAATTATTAATTATTGAAGTGTGAAAAAACACCAAGGTTCCCATGACATTGTCCGAAAATGTCATGGGATGACACGAGGGCGCACCGGTGCCGCGTTCGTAAAATTAATGGTTCCTACCCCCCTAATCCCCCGGAAAACACCTCACCCCGTCCCGACCCGAACACACTCCCACCCCTTCAATTGTACCCCAAAAGTTGATTTTGACTTTGTAGTCAAATTTTGACTCCAAAGTCAAAATCAACTTGTGGGGTGCAATTGAAGGAGGTGGAGGTGTGTTCGGGTCGGGGCGGGGTAGAGGGGGTTTACCGGGGATTAGTGGTGGTAGAAACTGTCAATTTTACGAACGGGACACCAAAACATCCCTGAGTCATCTCATAATATTGTGGGGCAGTGTTATGAGAAACTTGCCAATGAAAAAAATGTCTTGATCATAAAATAGGAGTTGCTTTGCACGAGGGAGTGTGTCACTTTAAAAGTAGCATTGAAAACATTGTTAAAAAAAGTGGCTTTGAAATTTATTAAAAGATTCGTGTCACATTATCACACGAGATAACTACGTGTAATTTTTTTCTTACCTTTTGAAATCTGTATAAAACTAGAACTAGGTAAAAGGACAAATAAACATTGAAAAAAGCATTCTCATATAATGAGTACTTAAGTCACTAGTAATTACACAAACAAAAAAAAAGTAAAAAAAACAGTGATTTTTTCGGTTCTATTCCGTTTACATCACTCCCACACATAAATTAAGAATTTTTTTATGTCTCACAAAAATTTATATTTATATTTTTTTCATTTTAACGAAATTGATACACAGCTCAAACTTTTTTTTATTTGACAAACAGGTTTTCATTTTTTTATTTCTATGCTGCTCTTCAATTGTGTAAACTCAAATTAGAGAAAAATACTCCAATATGAGTAAGCATACTTCCTCTTTCCTATAAAATTATTTCCATTTTGACTTTTAGAAAATTTAAAGGATAGATATTTTATGTAGACTTTCCAAAAATATCCTTGATGTGATAGGTAAAATTAGGATGTGATAAGTAGATTATTAGTAAAAAAGTATGATGTGATAGATAGGTTAAGAATTAATAAGGGTAAAAATAGGTTTAATAAAAAAAGGATTTTGTGGTTAAGAAAAAAAGGGGAAAGATATCTCTTGCCGAAATTTTGAAAATCTGGCCGGTGAGTGCATATGTGGGCTTCCACTTGACTTCCTGATATACATGTGACATTGCATATGACTTTCAAATGGGAGAAAGACCAAAGTAAGACTAAAACATTGAAAATATACCAAAATAAGACTTTAATGTTTTTTTTCTCGAAATAGGACTTACATTACCAAACATGGTCATATACATTGCCAAAAAAATATAGTAATGTGCACATGTACAATGCCACATTACCACATTGGAAAGTCCTATTTCGGGAATAAAAAACATGAAATTTCTATTTTGGTACTTTTGTCTATGGTTTAGTCATATTTAGGGTGATTTCTACTTTGAAATTAACTTTTAAATTCTCTTATACGTAATTACATTTATAATTGACACATATAAAATCACGTTATAATTTTTTAAAAATTATAATTTATTTATACAATACCATTTTTTAAATATTTACAAGATATTTAAACCAATCTAGCGACTATTTTTTAAATAATGGTTCTTATTGTAATTTAAAGCGCATAGTTTCTTACTCCGTATTTATTTGAACTTTAGAATATTTACAATCTCTTGGAGTTGGAATTTAAATAAATAAATAAAAATAATAATAAAAACTTCTAATAGTAGTACTAATAATAAAAATAATAATAATACGAAATTTTTTAAATTTAAGATTTAAAAACTTCTAATAAATCTTTAAAAATGTTTTATAGACAATTATTAAAATATTATTACTACTTATGTTTAAAATACGTAGTATCATGTAAATTATAAAGTTTTCAAAATGCTAAAATTAAAATAAAAATCTTATAGAAAGCACGAGGTTAAAATAAAATTGAAATATACTGCGTAAAATATACTTTCATTGCAAGGAAAAAAAATTAAATTGTACAAATAAAATAAAGTTTATTTTTTTAAAAAAAATTGATTTTATATAAGTCAAATACAAAGTTCTTCAAGTATTGGATAAATTACAAATTAATTTAGAACGAATGTCACATGTACAACAGAAAATTAATTAGAATGCCACATATGCACTCACCGCCCTGATTCTTCCAATTCTAATTTGTTACATTTTTCAAACATAAGGTATCCTTTTGTTACAAATTAAAGATGCGATATTTTTTGGGAATTGATAAATGCACTCCATTATTGTTAAATTCACTCCACTATTTTGTATTTTTGTTCGAGTAGACATATTTGACACTTGTGTGAATTGATTTTTTTTGTTCAATGTATGTCTTTTTAATTAATTTTGATTCAACCTATTTAGAATCCTTGAAATTAAAGTTCAAATTTTAAGATATGTTATACGACAGAGTATTTTTTATTATTTTTTGTCTTAGAATTATTGTTTCACTTCAAACAATAATTAAAATTCTTTCTCTTTTAAAATGGTTTTATTTACAAATGAGTATAAAAATAAAAAAATGTATTATATATTTCAAAAATATTTCAAGAGTTTTAACAAAATAAAATGTTACAAAAATATTTTATTTTATCAAAAAATCAATGAAAATATAAAAATAAAAAAAAATATCAAGAGATTAAAATAGTAACTGAGATGTCAGATGGAGTATTAAACTTTGTAAATAGGGAGTATTTTATTTGTCATTCCTTTCTTGAAATGTATAGAATTGAAATGTCAAAAAACTATCGTTATTGAAATATGATTACATTTTTTAATTGACGGAGTATACCTGGTAAGCTTTTACTTTTTATATTTTTTAAAAATTTTTTTTGTGACAAAGACAATTGTGTCATTTCCCAATCCAAAAAAAATGGTGAATTTCACAAAATTGGATTATTAAATTTATCAATGGACAAAAATTATACTCCCTTTGTCTAACAATAAATTTCCTAGTTAATATTACGATCTCTCGATACCTTATTTTTGTTTGTATAATTTCATCAATCATTTAATAAGATAAAATACTCTTATCACGTTTTGCTTTGTAGCTAAAACTTTTGATGTAATTTTGAACAATATAATTTGTATTTTTTCCTGATATACCAATTGTTTATGAAAGAGTGATATACCAATTTTAATTAAAATTATTTTAAAAAATATGACATTTTTCAAAAATGGAAAATTTATTTTTGAAATATATAATTCAAATATTTAAAGAGTGAATGATACTTTAATTTGAAAAAACAAATAAATGGGTCGAACTAAAAAAAAGATATAGAGTATAAGATACTAAAATTCAATTGAATAGGGGCAAAATGGTATACTCCAACAAAAATGTAAAAAGGTGGAGTGCATTTAACAAAAGTGAAGTGTATTTATCAATGGAAAATGTTAGGGTGCCACCACATGGGTGCTACCATGGGAGCACCCATGTTTCGCACAGACAAACATAGACAATAATTGTCTGTACGACACAGATAATTATCGTCTGTGTGTTTGTCTGTGCGAAGCATGGATGCTACTCATATGGTGGCACCCTAATATAGTCCTTTATCAATTGCCCATTTTTTGTTACAGAGGTTTTTTCTCTTTCTCAACTAACGGCGTCTTTGGCTCATGTCTTTCCACGCCCCCTCTTTCCGTCATTCGCCATTGCAGTAAAAAGTTAAAATCTCTCTCTCTCTCTCTCTCTCTCTCTCTCTCTCTCTTTTCTCTCAGAGGGAGGGGAGCCCATAACTCCTCCCCCCGCATGGTATGTATATATATATATAGATACTCGTATGGGCCTACTTTCTCTCTCTACAGTCTGAGAGGCTCAGAGCTCCCCCATGTCCCATCTCTATCTCTCTCATCATCGTCGTCGTCTCCGTATGTATTTTGCCTGGCCTGTACTGAATACATATGTATGTATATTTATATGTATGTGACTCCCCCTCTTTCCAGCCGCCGATCTAATAATAACTCCGACAAACTTCATCGCGCCAGGTAAAACAACAAACCTTTTTTCATTTTTGGAACCCCTATTGGCCGCAGCCGCCGCGGCCACTTCTCCGCCATTAGAATCTAAGCTTGTGCTGCTGCTGCTGCTGCTGATGATGATGATGATGATGAAATGAACTCCTCTTCCCCTATTGCATATCGAATCTTCTCCGTTTGTGTTCAATTCGTGTCCAGATCCGTGTTCTTCACTGCTGATTTTTTCCGTTTCGTTCCGGGTTTGGGACTTTGAATTTTCTGGAAACAAGGATTCATCCGGCCGATTTTCACTGATGGATTTGGCGTGGTGAAAATTGAGGCGGGGGACATGGACACTGGCTTCTTCTCGCTTATCTGCTTCATTCAATTTGATGGGCCTTTCTGTTCCACACGGTGTCTAATTATCCATCAACGCATTATTTTATTATAATTAAAGCTACCAGTAGGGTGTTGATGTCATATGCCCAAGTCCTACATTGGTTGGTTGTTGAGTGTGTGTTATTATCATTATTTTAAATTATTATTATTATTTTGAATGAATTAAAAATAACAATTTGGTAAAAATAAAAGAGAATGATAATAATAATAATAATAATATTATATTGTACGAGTATTTTCTTTTATAAAAGCAATTTTAAAATCACTGGTGACGTAGCATTATCTCTATAATTCTGCTGGTCCATTCCTTTGAATCCCTGCTTTTCTGGAGTTATTAATGGGAGTGAATCTTATTTCAGCTGAGCTGTATGCCACCCAATTTGGTTACTGAGCTGTGTAATGTGGATCACATTTTCTTGATATGAGATATCTTAGCTTATGATCTTTGAAAGCTTGAGATATCCCATTCTTCTTTTTTTGTTAATTACTTTGGTTGACCCTTATTTACTCAAACAAGAGTCAACCCTGCTGCTTGTTGTTTGCGAACCTTTTTTTTCTCCCCTTCTTTCATTTTTTTCCTTCAAAATCTCATTGTTTGCTAATGTTAGCTGTCATTCTGATGGTTTATTTAATTTTAATGAATCAGACTCAGCAAACGGCATTGTTTCAGCGGTATCGACGTAGTCCAGTGCTTAAATGTCTCACTGAAGTTCAATTAGATGATTATGTTTCATCTAGTTGACCTCTCCAAGAGATTTTTGGAGTTTGAGGTCTTACAGATGTTGGCATCAAGGCATAACTGACTGTCGAGGGCGCTTCTAATGTTTTTATAGTTCTCTGTCAACTATTTTCAGCCACTGAGTATGTCATAAGTGCTCAATTCATACGAAGAGTACGAATTGTAGCCCACTTGGTCTGCTCGCTCTCTCCCTCTACTGATCTCAAATCACTGTGAGGGTTTACAATTTCATGTTTTCTTGGCCAAGCCTACATGCAAACTATCATAGCAATTATTGATGCTAAATACGGGGACTCGAAACCCTTGTGGTAACTATCATAGCAATTAAATCTGCCTTTGCTACTTCTGGTAGTGTATTTGTAACTATTAGTGTTACATACAATTCACATATTCTGGATAGTCCAACACGGCCTTTACTGTTGACTTGGTCTCCTTGGTGGGTTCTTTTTTGTCGTTGGAAGTAATGGAATCTGAGGCATTTACTACTGATCGTCAGACAAGCACGCTCCAGCGATTTCTTTCTGCAGTTGTGCCTGTGTTATATATTACAATTGGTTATGTGGACCCTGGGAAGTGGGCTGCTGTTGTTGAGGGAGGAGGTCGTTTTGGGTATGATTTGATGGTGTTCTTACTGCTGTTTAATTTGGGCGCTATCTTATGCCAATACTTGTCGGCTCGCATAGCAGTTGTTACTGGTAGAGATCTAGCCCAGGTAGTAATTGTTGTTTGCTGCTTTTTATTCATTATAATGCTATACTTCATGTGAATGATTAAAAACCTCTTTGTTTTTATAGGGTAAGACTATGCACATCTTGACCCCCCCCCCCCAAAAAAAAAGACTCCAACGAAATAAGGATTTTATTTGGTTTGTTGTTGTAGTTCATAGAGCATTTTAGATCCCTCAAACTGTTGGAAAATTTTGAATTAATGTTACTCTATCAATTGCAAGGTTTTTTTGTTTAATAAAATAGCAAGGGTTGAAGGAAACCTCAATTTATAAAATTGGTTAACATTATATGATTGAATCCATCAAGGCTAGACCATTATTACAAGTGGCAATGTCAGTCACGTAATTTAAATGACAAACAACCATAGTTACTTAAAGTAACTTAAGTAAGCATATTGCATGAGCATAGCCATCAGCCATAACTAAAATTTTCAAGTTAATAATTTCTTCCTGCACCAAGCATTGTTTTTTTTAACCGAAAGAACAATGTTATTACTCCTCAAGCCAAACACATCACAGTTTACAATAGGGTTACATCAATAAGAAAGCTCTTAATATGAAATAAGATAAACTCTATGGTTTCCCCCTCCTTGATCTCTTTATGGTGAAGTTTACCATTCCTTGCTCTCCAAATGCCGTAGCAGCACGCAGCCCAGCATACAAATCGCTTCTTCTTGTCTTTAAAAAGCATAATCACACCTCCAATCTCCCCAAACTCCACAGCAACAAATCTTGTATCAAACCTCGAGAGAATGTTATTATACACTACCTTTGCATAGGGGCAACTCCAGAGCAAATGGTCAATGCTTTCCGAAGTAGTCCCACACAAAATGCAAGTAATATCAACAGGCACAAATTTACTCAGCCTACATTATGATAAATGTCGTGATCCAGATTTTGTTGCATCCTCTCTGCTAGACTTTGTTGCATATATTACCCAAAATCTTTTGTTCTCTATTTGAAGTTTAAAATTCCCATGTGAGCTTGTATTAACCCATTTGAACTTGATGTTGAAGATTTGCAGCAAGGAGTATGACAAAGTAACTTGCATATTTCTTGGATTTCAAGCTGAAATTTCTGTCATGGCATTGGACCTTACAATGGTAGTTCATCTTCTCATGTTTTCCTGTTGGGCTTTTAATGTTTTATTTTTCTTAAGTTTCTTTTACTCTTAGAGTGGTAATATCTTGATTTTTGGCCTTTTGGCAGGTTTTGGCAACTGCTCATGGACTAAATGTCATATTTGGAATTGATTTATTTACATGTGTCTTTCTGACTGCAACTAATGTTGTTTTGTTTCCACTCATTTCGTCTCTTGTGGTAAGGGCTAGGATCCGATTAATAATCTATTCTTGCTGTTGATGCAAAAATATTGGAATGTTTCACATTGCACTTTGACCAAAACTGGAAAAGAATTGCTGAATTGTTAACTTCAAACAAATTTTAGGATAACAGTCGTGCAAAGCTCTTATGTACTGGCTGGATGGGCTTCATACTTCTCTTGTATGTTCTTGGAGTCCTCATAAGTCAACCTGAAAATCCTTTCACCATTGGGGGAATATTGACTAAATTTAATGGAGAAAGTTCATTTGCATTGATGAGTCTACTTGGAGCAAGTATTATGCCCCATAATTTTTATCTGCACTCTTCTATTGTACAGGTTCTCTCTCTCTCTCTCATCCTTTATGTATGTACATATTCTCCTTTATGTATGTACATATTTTTTTTTTTAAATTTTTGTCCTTCAAAAGGATTACTCCGTAAGATATTCTCCTTTTGCAGCAAGAACAAGTATGGGAAAGAATTTCCAAGGGAGCACGGTGCCAAGACCATTTTTTTGCCATTGTCAGCATCTTCAGTGGCATTTTCTTAGTGAATTATATGCTCCTGAATTTGGCGGCTAGTGCATTCTACAATACTGGCCTTGTTCTCCTAACATTCCATGAAGCACTGTCATTGCTCGATCAGGTTGAGTGTGACAGCCACCCATCCCATTTCATTTTGTTTAGATGTGAAATTCATTTATCGATTCAATGGATGCTTGTTAAACTAACTTCTGAAACTGTATTTTTATGCAGCTTTTTGGGAGTTCCGTGACACCATTCGTCATGATGCTGGTTGTACTTATCTCAAGTCAAATCACCGCATTAACATGGGATATTGGAAAACAAGTAGTTGTCGACGGCTTGTTTGGAATGGACCTACCAGGCTGGTTGCATCATTTCACAGTCCGAATAATTGCCATTGTGCCAGCCCTGTATTGTGTCTGGAATTCTGGGGCTGAGGGCCTTTATCAGCTGCTAATATATACACAGGTTGCGGTTGCTCTTGTTCTCCCATCTTCTGTTATTCCTCTTTTCAGAGTCGCCTCATCCAGATCAGTAATGGGCAACCACAAGATTTCTCACATGCTGGAGCTCTTAGCTCTTGGCACATTTTTTTCCATGCTTGGACTAAAAATCATATTCGTCACAGAGATGATATTTGGAAACAGTGATTGGGTGCACAATTTGAAGTGGAACATTGGGAGTAGCATATCAGCTCCATATGTTTTCCTTCTCATTGCTGCTTTTGGCTCTCTTTGTTTAATGCTGTGGTTAGCAGCAACTCCCCTGAAATCTGCTAGCTCTAGATTCGATCCCCAGGCATTATTGCAATGGGACAGTCATCACCCCATGCATGACACGTCTATATTGGGCCTAGAACTTGATGAACCCAAGGTATCAATGTCTAATTTAGTAATTCCCACACATGTTCAGGAGCCAGCATTAGAATTTGAGAACTCCTTTGGAAGCAATGGTTTGGATTTACCGAGTTCAAAGCTTCTTGATTCAAACCTACCCGAATCTTTATTGGATTTTGAAAGAGGTCCTCAGCTGACAACCATTGATGAGGATGAGAATAAATCTGAAGTAACATTTTCAAGTGACTCTATCTGTCACCCCCCACAGGTTTTTGATGATGGAGATTCAATTACCGAACAATCATCAGACACTCTTCCTGGTGAACTTTTGGATGTTGTAGAGGAGACACAGAAAAATGTATCATCTTTTCCGAAGGGCAACACCGACAAGGTTTATGAAAAAGATTCTTGGGAGCCTGAAGCAGCAACACCGAAAGAGATGTTTGTGAATGAGAATCAAATTTCTACTCTTGACAGCCCGGGATCATTGAAGAATATCAGTGGAATGACTGATGATTTAGGGAGTGGAACTGGAAGTTTATCAAGATTAGCAGGACTTGGTCGTGCGGCAAGACGTCAGTTAACAACGATTCTTGATGAGTTTTGGGGGCAGCTATTTGATTTTCACGGGCAGGTGATACCTGAAGCAAAATCAAATAAAGTGGATGTATTGTTGGGTGTTGTTGATTCAAAGATAGATTCAAAACCTCCTTCAGGATCACTGAAACTGGAGACTATTCGGAAGGACATTAATGCAAATTTATCCGATTCATTGATGAATTCGGATATATACTCTCCCAAACAAATGAGTAGGGAATTACCCTATGGAGCTAAGGAGCCATCTTCTTTGCGGCTTAGTCACATGAAATTGTTAGATGCATACAACGCACAGAACTCAACCCATAATAATAACAATAATTCTCTGGAGGCTAGTGAGAGGCGATATTCCAGTATGCGCATTCCAGCTTCGTCTGCAAGCTATGACCCACAGCCTGCCACAGTTCATGGATATGAATTGTCGTCATACCTTAGCCAAATCTCCAAAGAAAGGTATGCTGATTACTTGAATGGTCATATGGACTCTTCACCAATTCCAAAATCGAACTATGTGGATCCATATGCTTCTGGCGGTGTTTACAGGCAAAAACCACAGAACATCTCAAGTACTAGGGGACCTCCTGGTTTCACAAATGTCTCTGCATCCAGAAACAATTCATTGGGGCAATCAGGGAATTTTTTAAACGATCTCTACTCCCTTACTGGCAATGGTCAGAGTGCAGCAAACACAACTCCAAAGAAATATTATAGCTTGCCAGACATATCAGGGCTCTATGTACCCAATCGCAGCTCTTCACAGTCACACAGGTTGGATACTCCAGTAGGATACGGCCATTCATTATATGGCCAAGCCTACTCGCGCACTTCACAGACGGCATGTCGCCCTCCAGGATTCGACCAGCTTTCTCCTTCCAAAGTGTGTAGAGATGCATTTTCGTTGCAAATCAGTTCGAAACCTGGGAACTGTGGTGTGTCCCTCTGGTCAACGCAACCCTTTGAGCAATTTGGTGTCGATAAGAGTGGTAGTTTCGGCACTGATGGTCTGGGAGCTATGCAGAATTCATCTACACAAGAAACATCATCCGTACTGAATTCTGAGGCAAAGCTACTTCAGTCCTTCAGGAGTTGTATGTTGAAGCTTCTGAAGCTTGAAGGTTCTGATTGGCTGTTTAAACAAGATGATGGAGCCGATGAGGATCTCATATCTCATGTTTCTGCGAGGGAAAGGTTTTTATACGAAGCTGAAACTAGGGAGGTGGGGGGTAGGCTGTCTTACGGCGGTGGTGGTGGGGAAACTCAACCTATTAACACCAAAACTGGCTCTGCAGATTCAGCCAAGTTCTTGGTGATGTCAGTTCCTCATTGTGGAGAAGGATGTGTTTGGAAAATGGATCTGATTGTAAGCTTTGGAATTTGGTGCATTCACAGGATTCTTGAGCTTTCACTTATGGAAAGCCGGCCAGAGCTTTGGGGTAAATACACGTATGTACTCAATCGTCTCCAGGTAAAATTTCCCACCACACCTTGTTCAGAGCTTATATGTATGGCTTTCTCAAATCGCATTACTTCCCTAAAAAACTCACGTTTGATGACTGTACAACTTTTAAATTTTGATAATGTGCAACAGTCCTTAATCATACTCATAATTTTTAAAATTTATTGGATAGTAACTTGTCTTTTGACAAATTTATGATAAATTACCTTTGTTCAGTCTGGATTTGCTGTTAGGGACTTAGGGACAAAAGGAGTGTTGGCAATATGATTCTTTTTGGGGGGCAGTGAATCATGAATGATACTTATATCCACGGGCAGTTTTTAAATTAATTTGTAGGTTTAACTAAATTTATCATGGGTAGTTTATCTGTAACCCTTTTCCTCTTTTTTTTCTTGGCAAAGTGCATGAAAAGTTAGCCTTGATTGATCCAACTAGCAGAGTATTATATTTGTATGTGAGTCTTTACATGTTTATAACCACACAATCTGGGTATAATGACAATAATAATTCTTATGATTATAACTGCAGGGAATAATTGATTTGGCATTCTTCAAGCCCCATTCACCCATGACTCCCTGCTTTTGTCTTCAAATTCCGGTTGGCCACCAACAGCGGCATTCAAACGGGAGTTTGGCACTGCCTGCAAAACAGAGCCGTGGAAAATGCACGACAGCGCCAATGCTCTTAGAGTTGATAAAAGATATTGAAATTTCCATCTCTAGTCGAAAGGGTAGAACCGGTACTGCAGCTGGTGACGTGGCATTCCCTAAAGGGAAAGAGAATCTGGCTTCAGTTCTGAAGCGCTACAAGCGCAGGTTATCAAACAAGGTTGTATCATCTCAGGACGGGCCCCGGAAAGCCCCATAGTAGCACCATTTTCTCACACTTTACACATCAGCAGCTCAGCACCACAAGAGGAAAACCAATGTATTCTCTCCTATTTTCCATTCTCCGTTCTTCATTTTCTCAGACTTTGCTTGGCCCAGTTGCTATGAACTCCCTCCCCCACCCCACCCCCTCCCACATTCTTTTTTGTCAACTTTTTCTCTCCCTTTTGTACGTTAATCTTATATGCTCCCCAGATCCCCCTCCCGCACGCACACAAACACCAAAAGAGAAAAAGTTCTCTTTGAGTTTGTGTTGCTGCAAAGTACTGTTATTCCGACAAGGGAAAGGGGGTGGAAAAGTGATGTTCATATCAGAGCTGCTGGTAATGCGAAATCTTTACGCACTGGGCAGTCTATCAATCAAATATGAAATATCATATGGCATATAGAAGGTTGAGCATCGACTAAAGTTACATATATACCCTCTTGACTCTGCTTTTTAACTTGTCCCCTCTCTCATTCTCATTCTTCCTACCCATGCTCTCATCCTCTGTCGAAACAAGAACGAGTTCAAATGGGTGGCCATCTCTGTTTATTCGAGCAAGGTATCCTTCATATTTTATGTGCTTTGATCCATTCCCCTATAAATGTACGGTTTGACGTTCTTTTTTTATTAATTTAAATAATTTTTTTAAAATCTGTTTTTTTTATTTGAATGCAGGAGTGAGCAAGTGTAGTATTATTTTCTTGAAAGAGGAAGGGAAGAAGATGGGCACTGTGTGGTGGTGGGGTGGTTGGATAGGTAGTCTCTTGTGCTTTTGGATGGATTGTTTTTTGTATATGCTAAAGCTGTATAGTATGATTGCGAGGTGGCTTATAAAAAAACTCCTATTTTTATATAATTTTTAATACATTTGCTCATTTCCATTCAAAAAGAAAAAGTTTCTTTTTGGGATGTGGCTTATAAGTTGCTTCCTTTGTTTGCGTCTTAGCTTATGTTTCTGTGTTTCTGGAGCAGGGGTCCCTTGAAATTAGCTTCTTTCTCTATGTTTGGTTTTAAAGAATTCAGGAAGATTGGAAGAAAAAAAATGATTTCTTTCATTTTCTTTACCAAAATAGAAAGAATTTGGGTTTTGTTTTTCTTAACCAATTTTTTTTAATTTTCTTTTCTTTCTCCTCTCTAACTAAATATGAAAAAATGTTATCATATTTTTTTCTTCTCTCAAAATTCTTAAAACAAACATAGTGTTAGGCTCCGTTTGATACACAAGATTCAGATTATAAAATTAGAATTGGAAACTTCGTTTCTAATTGTGTTGTTTGATACACATAATTTAAGTTATAAAATTAGAATTGGAGACTTCATTTCTAATTATGTTGTTTGATAGTACAGAAGTACGTGAATTTGAAATTAAATTTTAGTTTTAGATTCTTTTCATATCAATTCCCAAAGATTTTGGATTTGGTAGTACAAAAATATGTAGATGTAGATTTGGAATCATAATATAAATTCATATCAATTTTATATGCAATTTTGTACTACGTATTATCAAACAAAAGATTTGCTATTAATTCCTTAATTTCCTAAACAAAAGATTTAGAATTGAATTTCATCTCATTCAATTCTATAGAATTTTAGTTCTAATTCAATTACATTTTCATGTATGAAAGAGAGTCTTAAGATTTGCATAATGAACCTATCCTTTGTAATAAGATGTTTTCCTAAATTAATCTTCAATCATTTTTAATTATCTATGTGGTGCCTATGTGATCCTCTATAATTAAGATTTATTTTCTAGATAGTCTTCGTAAATAATGTTACTCAAATGATGATTAACTAGGGTGGTATTTTAGTTTTTTATCAACTAAATTTAGAATAAGTTCGTAGAATGGTCATATCTAATGAAGTGCTTTTCCAAAATGATTTTTTCTAATTAAAGACATGCATTTGATTCAAATTTTAAAAGATTTTGTGTACGGTTTTTAGTAATTTATGAATTATGTATAGTAAATGTATTTTTTATTTTTAGATTTAATTGCATAGAATTTGCCATTTTGAGAATATACTTTATGTTTAAATGATAGAAATACCAAAATAACTTTTAATTGATCAACATTTAAGTAAAATTATTTACGAAGAACTACATAGAGATTGAATCTCAATTATAAAGGACCACATATGTAATTATAATTTATTGAGAACTGAATTAATTAAAAAATATATTATTACAAAGGATAATTTTAAGAATTTACACTTTTAAAAATTAGGGATATCTGACAGTTCTTATTACAAAACTAGATGTATCCAACATCAATTTTTTGATTAATTTTTTGACAGTATTAGGGTAAAGAAAAGAAAAATTTGCTCCTTATTTACAAACGGAGTGATTCATGTAATATTATCCAGCAATATTATAGGATGACTCGGACACATTCTCCTCAAGAGCTCAACCTCTTCCATTATTACACCCCCAAATTAATTTTGATCCTGAAGTCGAAATTTACTATGAAGTCAAAATTAAGTGAGTTAGAAGGGATAGAAAAACCTCAAATTTACCGGACATGGACATCGTAGCTTCCCTGATATCTTGTGACATGGGGTTAAAGACTTGAGATGGATGAGTGACGGACTGAGTTCAACTGCGAGTCATATCATTCAGTTGGGTAGTACTCCTCCCGTTCCGTATAGGAGAGAGGAGAATATAGGAGGTATGAATGAGGACGACGAGGCGAAGAAGACAAACAGTGTTCTTCAATTCCTGCCATTTCAAAGCCTTGTAGATGCGGGTTTCTGGCACAGATTCTCCTCGCTCAAGCTCAACCACTTGGGCCTCGACGATTCCCCCATTCCAATCACAGGCACGCTTCGCTCTACTTCTTTGATCCGATCGAACTCTCTCCTCTGCTCTTCGTTCTATTATAGTAATCATGTTTGATTTTGGAATCTCAACGAACTGTTCAAAGCTTAATCAAACTTGATTCACTTCTGGTGAGGTGAAATTATGCCACTTTTTTTTTTTTTGGATAGAGCAATTATGGAGCTAATTTTATGTTCGCTTGCTTCCTGAGGGATGCAGGCTGTGTTCACTAACTTTTTCATTTTTAAAAAATTAGTCTTCTTAGGGTGATATTCAAGTTTGGATTTGGTTGGAAGGCTCTGGAGGCTTAGTCTATCTATATCTATATATATATATATATACTTCAGAATATATAAAAGTATTAAAGAATTAATTATAGGTGATCTTATATTATTTCATTCATAATTTACTTGTTCTTAGAAACATTCTTCTTATCAAAATATAAACTACACTTCTTAAGAAGATTTTGTTAAAGTTTGAGGAGTAAATAATAGATGAGCATGTAGCATTTTAGTCATAATTACTTCATTGCAAGAAAAATTCTATTTATCAAAATATAGACTAGACTTCTAAAGCCTTCCATCCAAAACCATCTATCTGAACTAATCTTCAAGGTTTCTGTGATAATGTTTTGAGCCTTTTTAATTTATTTAATTCTCTAGTGATAAGAAAAATTGATGAGTCTCTGTGATAAGCCAATTTGGATGGTTTATTGTCAGGTTTCTATGCTCCCTGCTCACACCATCAAGTTCCTAATCACTTGACACTCCTTGCTGAATCGTTGCCTCCCGAGCGTGGAGAAAACTTGTTGCATCAGAGAAGTCAGGGGAATAGAAATCGTTGCCCTGTACCTGGCACCCTTTACAACACGAACACATTGGAGGCCTTCCGTGCTCTTGACAAGCAAAGCCTAATAAAGACAGAAGTGAAAAAGGTATATTCAAGTATTCAAGTTTGAATATTGCATGTTTAACCGTGTTTGGTAGTAAACCAATAAGAAGATCGTAGGTTATGGTGACTTTAGATTATGTGGAAAGGTCATTTTTGCACTGGGATTATTAAATGGGTAGTTGATGTTTCATTTTTTACTGCCGAATCAGATATGGGATGACATTCACTCGGGCAAAGTAGAGGAAGATAGTGCGCTACTTTTGAGATTCATTATTATATCATTTGCAGACTTGAAGAAGTGGAGCTTCCACTACTGGCTTGCTTACCCAGCTCTTGTTCTTGATCCTCCTGCAACATTAGTTTCTTTGAAGCCAGCTTCACAGTGCTTCATCCACAAAGAGGTTCTGTGTTTATGGATATAGTTTTCATTCAGAGCCTGTTTGTTTTGAATTATAATATGGCTGAAATAGTGGTATGAGAAGTGTTTCTTTTTTTTCACTGTTTGCTATGTCTGACTACTAACAGGCTCTTGTTGGTTACAGAAATAGATCTCTTTTTGACATTGTTTTTTTTTCTTTTTTTGGATTTTAGGCTGAATACTTGTCAGCTGCATGCAATGTTTGGCGTAAGTCAGGCTCCATATCAGGTATAAATATTTATTTATTGCTAACACAATGATGGCTGGATACCAAACAAGTGAGTTAATTGCAGATGTTCCATTTTTTCTGGTGTCCATTGCATCTGATTTTAATATCACTATAAGGCATCTGAGGGATTGGGAAGCTTGTAGAAATGAGGGTCATGAGGTCTGTTCATAATATCTTGAACTTGAAAGTGTTAATACTTTATTTCTTATGAGCTTGAGAAAATTTTCAGAATACATTTATGTGAAAATAACAAAAAAATTTCTGAATGTATACTTCATGCGGGACGGGGAAAGGAAAATAAGTTTTCCTAATATGTGTTTCTCTCTCTCTTGTTTCGATTGTTGTAAAATACGGAGAGTGGAAAGAAAAAATGAATAAGCAATTCTAATTTCTTATCTCTCAAAATTGAAGAGATAGGTTGTGAAGAAAATAAGTACTACCTTTATTTCAGAATATTCATCTAATTTAACTTTTTTAATCAAATTGAGCAATCGAATAAAAATTGCATTGTGTATTAATACAAAATGATTTCATTAGATAATTTAGACTTGTCTTGCAAAATGAAATTTTATTGCATTTCAAGTTCTCTTTGATAGAAGTTTCTTTACATGCCAGGTTATTTTTGGTTTTTATGACCCTTGTAACCTTCCAAGTAATCCCGGCTGGCCACTACGAAATTATCTTGCTTATATTTCTGCAAGGTGGGGACTTGAAAAGGCTAAATTTTTCTGCTACAGAGAGAGCCGTGGCTTTGCAGATCTAGAATTGTCCCTTGTTGGAGAAGCACTGATATCCGTTTCCCAAGGTAGCGACAGAAAATGGCTGGTTTTACTTTCCATAAACCTTAGTAGTCGTTTGGCACTTGAAAAAAGGCTAAGGGGAAGAAAATAGGAAGGAAATTTGTAAATACATAAATGTAGGGGAAAATTCAAAAAATGTTCAACACAAAAAAAATATTTAAGTATTTCTTATACTAATCCTTCAAAGGTAAAACTATACATTAATCTAAAAATTTTCTTTAGTTTTGTTTTCCTACCATTTTGTGAGTTCCAAACATAGCTTTGCTTTTTGGTATTTTCATAAATAGGATGGAGGGATCACCAAAATATTCCTAAAGTTGTGGGATGGGAGACCAACAAAGGGAAGATGGCTTCTAGATGTATTAGCCTTGCCGAAACTATGGATCCAACAAGGTCTGCACAAATGATCTTGCAAATGTCATTATGCACTGGACTATATGTCATCTCAGATTTGTTTTTTGCACATTTCTAGGCTGGCAATTTCTGCTGCAGATTTGAACTTAAAGCTGATGAGATGGCGTGCGTTACCTTCTCTAAATGTTAACCTATTGTCTGCTACTAAGTGTCTTCTACTGGGAGCAGGCACACTTGGATGCCAAGTTGCTAGAATGCTTATGGTGAGTATTCACACCAAATGCACAGGGGGTGGGCCTTGCTGTGTGACTACATATTGAACAAGTTGGGTTGTTTCTTGTTTTGCAGGCATGGGGTGTCCGAAAAATTACAATCCTTGACAGTGGAAAGGTTTCAATGTCAAATCCTTTGAGGCAATCTCTTTATATACTGGATGACTGCTTGAGCGGGGGTAAATTTAAGGCAGAAGCAGCTGCTGAAAGTTTAAAACGAATATTTCCAGCTGTGGTAATCAAATTTCTTCATATACTTTTGCCTTAAGGTCTCTTTGGATCCCAGAAAGTGATAGTGAAAAGAAAGATCCATAGAAAATGCAAAAGAAAACAAAATAAGATTAATTTTATATGAATTTAGATTTAGATTTCTCGGTCTTCATATATAGGAGTATAATATATATTACTCCGTAATAAACAAAATGAGTGTCTACTGTCAACAAATACATAAAAAAACAAATCTATTGTTTTACCCCACACATTTTCTTCCAGCTATCTTCTATGGTTTCCCTTCCCGTTCCTTTTTTTTCGGATTCCATACAGTATGTTTGGATCCATGAAAATGCTAGGGAAAGGAAAAAGAAATCCCAACAAAAGCTATTTTCTTGTGATTGATTTTACCTAGGAAAATGAAATTTGTTTTTAAAAAATGTAAAATATGATTAAATTTCTTGAACTTTCTATAGAAGTACATAAAATAAAATGAGTAGTATGTTAAGTTTGACTCAATGTTTCATCCCACATTCCCACTCCACATTTTTCCTTCTAAATGTCCCGTGTTTTACTCTATTTCTTTCCCTATCATTTTATGAGTTCCAAACAGACCTTTAAGGAATGGTAACCTTGAAATGTTGGTATCCTTTTCTTCTCAGGAAGCAGATGGTGTTGTGATGGCTATTCCAATGCCGGGTCACCCAGTGCCAAAACAAGAAGAGCTTAATGTACTTGAGGACTGCAAACTCTTGCAGGGCTTGATTTCCTCTCATGATGTAATCTTTTTACTGACTGATACTCGAGAAAGTCGGTGGTTTCCCAGTCTGCTTTGTGCCACTGCCAACAAGGTTTGTTTGTTTTCTTTTCTCGTGCGAATATTTTCTTTTTGAATTTTTTCCACACAATTTTTTCCCAGTGGTCCACTCTCTTTAAAATGGCCTATTCACAATTTTGCAATCATCTTTCCATTTCATTTACACCCTTCTAATTTCAATATTTCAATATCACTTTCTCAACCATATTTTATACAAAACAAAATTGCTGCAGGTAACTATCACTGCAGCTCTAGGTTTTGATAGCTTCCTTGTTATGCGCCATGGAGCCGGTCCCACGAGCACTTTACCAGATGAAACTCTTCACAGTTGCTCAGCTAATACGAAGAAGCTCTCAGTCACCAAAACAAATGGCAAGGAGAGATTGGGGTGTTACTTCTGCAACGATGTAGTTGCTCCCATCGATGTAATCACAACTCTTCATCATTTATATTTGACTGCTATCAACTGTTCTTAAGACAAGGGTCTTCTAGAAATAGCCTCTCTGCCTTAATGGGTAGGGATAAGGTGTGTGTGCACTCACCGTCTCCAAGCCCCACACTAATGGACCTTACTGGATTCTTATAATTCTTATTATTACAACAGACTAACAAAAATAGTCTGGATTACTATTATGATTACTTCTATTAATATTATCACGAAAACTTTGTTTAGTAACAATAGTATTTGGTGTGTAGTCAACTGCCAATCGTACTTTGGACCAACAGTGCACAGTTACTCGTCCCGGGCTTGCTCCTATTGCATCTTCCCTTGCTGTTGAACTGTTGGTGGGGGTACTGCATCATCCTTCTGGGTAATTCTTCTAAATACCAAAAACTGATATCCTTGTCTATCCGCCTGCCCTTTCTTTGGTCTTAAAGAATTTTCCTCTGGTTCACAGTTGAATGTTATTTTGGAGGAATATTTTTGTTTCATGCTGTGTGTCCTTTGAGAGCTCTAAATTGCTCCGTTGGGATTCCAAAACCCTGAGAATGTGAGCTTTGGAACATCTATTTTTTGTTTTATTTATATCTTTAATGTGGTGGAATCACAATGAACAGGATATATGCCGAAGCAGAATTCGCAAATTCTACTGTTAACGGGAGCAATGAGCAGCCTCTAGGCATACTACCCCATCAGATCCGTGGTTCGTTATCTCAATTTTCTCAAATGTCTCTTGTGGGTCATGCTTCTCCCAGTTGCACTGCTTGCTCTTCCAAGGTGAGAGATTCATTCATATACAAGCCAATACTATGCACATTTTTCTCTTATCAAGTTTTAAATACAAAAATACATAGTTCAGGAGATTAGCCATTGGTACTTGTAAACTCATGTTATGTGACATTATGGTCTCATTTGGCATTCAGCGTTAGAGATTAGCGTTAGCGTTTTGAAAAGGCTATCTGACGATAGCTCTTGGCTACATTGTTAATATTTTATCCAAAACGCTAATGCTAATTAAAAATGCTCTTCCCAAACAAGGCTTATAGCTTGTGAACGGTAGTAACTATACAAGAGATGACAGGTTGTGTCTGAATACAAGAAGCGGGGGATGGATTTAGTGCTGGAAGCGATCAACCACCCCACATATCTCGAGGATCTAACTGGATTGACCGAGCTGATCAACTCTGCTGGATCTTTGGAATTCGACTGGGAAAATGATGAAACTGAAGAAGATGATGATTGTGTTGATATATGATGTTTTTCTGTTATATAAAAAAACCCTATTTGTTATCTACAATTGCGAGAGCTTCTCCACTCGAGATGTCATTTTTTATGCAGAATATATTTTATCAGTTTTAGGAAATGAAATATAATTCCCTGGTTCATGTTAGACGGTTGGTGAGTTTATTGCACAATATATAGATTGGTAAATACCCGTTGTTATTCTCTTTACTTTTAAAATTTACCTCATTCTCCTTTTATCTACTCCGAGCTATGCTAGGGTACACCAAAAAGTGTACACTATCCCTTTCTCTACCACATATTTTTATTTTACCACATATTTTTATTTGATTTTTATTTACTTATTTTTTTTAAATTTTTTTTATTTTTTTTAGTGGACAAGGAGGGGGTGGGGGATACATGGGGTATAGCATTTTTCTTTATCTAATATTTCTACAAATTTAGGTGAAATACTCTATTGCCCTAGTGGCACTCTATTTTTTCTTGTATTTTTTCATAAATGTTTAATTCTCAAATTTGTCTTAAAAATAAAAATTGTTTATATTTTAAGGAAAAATGTAATAAGAAAATTACTGACGTTTCATTTACAAAATTAGTAATTACTATCCATCCCCTTAACTCTTCAATAAATCGCCACCAAACTCATCAAATGTACCTTGATTCCAAAATCAATTGGCAATTGACGAGATAGTTGTGATTGCATGAAGAGTCTTTTTAAGGTTGATGGATTTTTTTCATGATTATTTTATACTGATGGAAGATTCTACAGATTTAATATAATTCTGTAAATATCATCTAAAGAGATTTATGAGAAACAAAGAGTTGTTAATTTTTGGTTCTAATTGCCTATACATATAGCCATACACACATGGCAAATCATTCAAATAAAATCAAGCATTTTATCCATAGAAGAAAACCAAATAGAATGAAACAGGTAATAAATTTAACGGAAATTCGGTTTTTTATAACGGACAGGTAAATCGGAAAGTACACCACTAAGACAAAATGTAAATATAAAAAAAACACAAATTCTGGCAATATTAAAAAACACAACTAATCTCAGTTAATATCAAAATAACAATAATCCCCAAAATGCCCTTCACTGTCTTTTTCAATAAATAAAAGAAGAGCTTGCGGTGGTCCCCAAAAAACCTGACGACAGCCTCAATCATCACCAAAGGTTGTCCTCTTACCTGTCCATAGATGCAATGCATTGAATTAATTTTATTGTTATTGTCATTATTTGAATTGGAGTTATTTTTAAATAATTTTACATGAAAAACATTGTAGAATTAGAAAATAAAAATTACATTTTTAAAACAGCAAGAATCTTAAGACCCTTATTCTGAGCGTAAAATTAAATTGATTGATGATTCTTACCCTGTCCCTACCTGCCCACCCCACCCCAACACCCCTTCTCACCCATTTGCCTATTGAGGAGGGACAAGGGATGCAGGGGTAGGGTTTAGGGGTGGTTACAGGGAAAATTTTACAAGTTTTAATAAGAACATACCTGAGGGGGCAATGCTACTAGTCCTTCCACCCCTTCTTCCACCACTCCTTCCCCCGCGATCAAACCTACCACCGCTTCCATCACGGCCACCTCTGCCTGATCTGCCGCCGCTACGGCCGCCATCACGCCCGCCCCAACTTCCTCCGCCACCACCAAAACGGCCTCTGCTACCTCCACCACCACTATTGTCCCTTGGCCTAGACTCGACCACCTTCAAGGTGCTGCCTCCTAAAGAGGACCAGTTGAGTTCCAGGGCTTTGGTCATCGCATCATTGTCAGTAAACTCAATGTATCCCAGCCTGTGGAAACAAAGATAATGTAATGAAAATGGGTTGCTCAAAAATAACAGTGAAAATGACTTAATTGGCCATTACACTATGTTTGGTTCAAGAAATTTGGATAAAACAAGAAAGAGTTGGATAAAACAAGAGTTGGATAATAAAGAGTTCATGCTTTTGTGCTTTGGGATTTTATATTATAAATCTAGATATATAATGTTATTGTATATTCATTATAATAGTATATAAATACCTCTTTCAAGTCACTTTAAGAAGACTTGGAAGGAATTGGAAGGAACTGAAAGCAGTTAGAAGACAATTTTTCAATCACAAAAAATAGGGTCTTAGTATATTTTCTTTCTCATTTTCTTTTCCTTCCACTTTTCTTTTCGTCCATAACCAAACAAGAAAAAGAATTTTCCCTCATTTTCTTTTATTCTCTTTCAAATTCCTTGAATCAAACAAAGTGTTAATGACTTGCCTTTTAAGATGTTACTTGGAAATTTATTTGTAAGCACAAGGCACTTGAACGGGTGGAATCAAGATAAAAGTACAATCTTTGGATGTAGTCCGGTCACTCATATACTTAGAAATATATTCGTTTGTTCAATTACTAAAAAAACAGATTTGCCACATACCCTTTCACAGATCCATCGGGGTTGGTTGGAAGTCTCGTGCGTATGATTTTTCCACAACCACCAAAATGGTCTTCGAGAGCACTCCTTATCTGTAAATTGTGTAGACAAACAGAGTATATAATAAGATCTCATTCGAATGCATAGTGAGAAACCAAAGTCTTTAAAAAATCACAGGTGGAGCAACCTGATCTTCTTCATCATTTGTGTCAAAGCCAGTGACAAATATAGTTGTACCTTCACCGCTACTCTGTTTCTGGAAAGAATTTTCGCGTTTCCTACAATAACAAATTTCCCATTAGGTTGGATGTGGAATACAGTGAACATGATTGGTGTTTGGGGAAAACTACATACCCACTGTGGTAATCACTTTTGGGAGTAAAAGGACCTCTCTCTCTTGCTAGGTCAAGTCTCACCTCGCGGCCCAACAGTTGTTGACCATTTAGTTCCAGAGCCTAAATACAAACAAGCACCAGAAGATCAAGTTGACTAAGAATAAGGCACAACAGATGCTGCAACTTACAAAAAGATTAAGTAAAAAAGGTCATTTAAAAAAGAGTTTTAAGTATTCATTTATTGCGTTTAGTACTTGGGACTTCAGATGTAAAGTAACATGAAAAGCTACATTTACAAGAATTCTTTTTGGGTCAGGGCAAGTGCAATATTTAAAATGTCCATGCAAAAGGATAAAACAATAGAAGCCTTTGAAGATACTTGTATGACAACTACACTTTACCTTGGTGGCAGCCTCACTAGTGGTAAACTCAACATGCCCATAACCCTTGAAAGTCCCATCCTCGGAGGAAGCAAAACGAACTTCTTTTATCTCTCCAACATCTTTAAAGAAATCTTCACTGCATGTTAAAAGCAAGAATAATTAAGTTAGCTACACTACAAAAGAGTCAGCATAAATCCAAATTTCCTATGCCAAATTTGACAACATACACATGAGCATTGTCAATTGACCATGACAAATTTCCAATGAAGATAGTTTTTGATTCTTGCTCTGGTGCTCTGGGGGTGGCTGGTGTCTTAGGCTGCAATACAAAATCAATAATGTTGTGAAGCAATTTAACAAAAAAAACCCTCCTCAAAAAGAGTCAAATATCTTCTTGTTTGTCCCATTAAAAAATCATTTCTCAACTTGATTGAGAAAAGGTGAATTTACTGCTCTCTGAGACTAGTCCCTACAACAACAACATTACCCCAGTGCCTCAACGGCTCCCGCCCATTGGGAGGTAAGGGGGGTCATATGTACGCAGTCAGACCCCTATGTTTAAAACATAGAGCGGCTGTTCCAGATGACCAATGATGAATGTCAAAAGTTACATTGCCCAACTGCTACTTCATAATTACAAGAAGCGCACACAATTTAGAGAGCCAATTTGCTTTATTCTATCATACCTCAAAGCCAAAAAAAAATAGTTAATCTTGGCTCCACAGGGGAATAGAAATAATACAATTGAAGTGCACTCTTTATGAGATGGGGAATAATAATTATGCACATACTACCCATACAAAAATCACTTACAGCTTTCTTTTCACTTTGAGCCTTACTAGTTGCACCAACCATTTTAGCATCTTTAGCCTGTATAATTAAAAGAAAATTATGGTTGGTAGGATCAAGCTGGAAACAGCACATACCCTAAAACTGTTATAAAGCCTCCGCTCCAGAACAACCAATAGTGTTTGAAGCAAAGAATTAAATCAAAAAACTTAAAGCAGCAAAAAATACAGCGTAATAAGAAACAGGCAGTCACGGAGGATCATATCTTGGGGAAAAGGAGAACAAGTGAAGAGGAAGGAAATTAAAATTCTTTCCTAATTCCGTTCTATTTCCTTTCCTAATTTCCTCCCCAACCAAACATTAGAAATTTATCAATTGTTTCCCAACATCCCTGCCTCCTCATTCCCACCCACTTCCCTTCAACCAAACATACCATGAGAAAGTATGACTTGAGGACCTATGGACTCTATTCAGCAACATTAGTTGGTAGAGGCAACAAAAGGAAGTTGAGGGGAAGAAAATGAAGAGTACAAAAGTGAAGATGAAGGAAGTGGAGTGGAAAATCGATTTCCACTGGTTCGTTTGGTGAGAAGTGTCTCCTATTTCACTATAAATGAGGATGTTTATTCAATTCAAATTAAATACAGTAGAAACTGGTCCCTATTTCCCTCCATCTAAACATTGGAAATTTATCAAATACCTTCCAACTTCCCTCCCACCTCACTTCTCTTCAACCAAACATGTGTAAGGGCTATGAATGGCGAGTCTATACAGTAGAACCTGGTCCCATTTTTTATGGGAATTATTTACTTTAAATGTTTATTAACAACTACTATACATATACTTCGTATAAAATAAAATGTGTACATAATTAGTTAATTGTCTAGTATATACTATCCAATCAGACACAGCATGAGATTTACAATACCATCAATTTGTTCAAGAGAATGACTTATGCATGGAAAGTTACAAGCAGACACCAGAAATGTGCAAAAAAATTAAAAAATTACTCTACCTTCTTTGGAGTCTTTGCAGGCTCTTCTTCTTCCTCCTCACTGGACTCCTCTGAGGACGAGTCTTCAGAGCTACTCTTCTGAAACAGAAATTAGAGTGACATGCAGTCATGTAACAAATTACACTACTCCATGCGCAATTCAAGTGAAAAACCATCTCAAATTTCAACGGTCCACAAAGTGTATACCAGAATTACAATAGTAGAGAATAGTCTCATATGAAAACTAAGACTGTGTGGCAATGATTTCATAATCAAAAGGACTACTCGTGTACTCCATATAAATTTTAATGTAAGCTGAGTAAAAGCCAAACCTATACATATACCTTAATGGTCTTCTTTTGTGGCTCCTCATCTTCACTATCTTCTGCACTGGTTTCTTCACTTTCATCATCAGTTTTCTTCAATTCAAAATAAAAGGGAAATTAGATCACCACCGATATCCCCCAAACATATTAGGGCACAGGATGGATCTTGTAACCAAAATTTTCATGGCGGGAAAAAATGTGAGTTCATGATAAATCATCATCAAAACAAGTGGATCACTGGAGTCATAGTCAAAGTACCATTTTAATGTCAGTTCCATTTGATGTTTTCTTGGATGGGGCAACGGCTGGAGCATCCTGGAAAATGTGTAGCATGATAGACGGATAATGAAACAGGTGGTATTGAAGGAGTTAGTGCAAAATCAAGAAAACTAGATTGACCCCTCTGAGCAATTACAAGACTATGTACTTACATCTTCATCAGAGCTACTATCATCTGAACTGCTTTCAACTTTTTTTGCAGGAACAGATGCCTTAGCAGGAGCCTTCTTTCGGGCAGGGGCAACATCCTCATCCTCCGAACTACTCTCATCTGAACTGCTTTCGACTTTTTTTACAGGGACAGATGTCTTAGGAGGAGCCTTTGTCTTGGCAGGGGTGTCATCCTCATCATCAGAACTGCTTTCATCTGAACTGCTTTCAACTTTTTTTGCAGGGGCAGAAGTCTTAGGGGGAGCCTTTGACTTGGCAGGGGTGTCATCCTCTTCATCGGAACTACTTTCCTCGGAACTGCTTTCAACTTTTTTTGCAGGCGTAGATGCCTTGGGAAGGGCCTTCTTAGCAGGGGCCTCATCATCTGAACTTGAATCCTCATCAGAGCTGCTTTCCTCTGAACTACTCGCAGCTTTTTTTGCAGGAGCAGGTGCAGGAGCACTAACCTCCTTCATGGGAGTATCATCATCATCAGAACTATCCTCTTCTGAGCTTGATGCATCTTTCTTCCCATTCACTGCCCCATTTTTGGCTGGGACTGAAGGAACTTTTTTGGTAACAGGGACCTCTTCATCTGAGCTGCTATCTTCAGATTCAGAATCACTCTCATCACTTGACTGTTTCCCTTTTTTGGAAGGATTGATTTTTTTTGGAGGAGCTAAAGTTTTGGGGGCAGGTTTCTGAAAAGAAAGGACAATCATCATTCAATGTTGGAAACAGTGGAAAAGCCACAGAACAGTATGAAAACCATGAACCTATTATTAAATTAGATACTCCAACCAACTGGGGAAGAAGACAAATAGATTAATGAGTTCTTATAAAATGAAGAGAATTAGAAAAACATCACAAAATTACATACAATCACCTGACATTTAACCCAATGGGGACTAACTTTATATCGGATTGTTGAAGGATGAAAATATAGATTCTAAATTTATTTTTGTATCTTTAAAAAAAGACAAAATTACATTTTTAATAGCAAATGATCCTAGTAATTGATAAAGAAAACCGAGTATACGAGACCAAAATATACAGAAATGAACCCAATGTGTTCAGTAAAACATCCAAGCATAAAGAGGCAAAATTAAAAAAAAAAGGTAATTTATTTTACCTTCAGCTCTTCATCAGAACTAGAGGAACTTTCCTCTGAAATGCTTTCCACCTTCTTCTGGGTCTTAGCATCAGCCTTCTTCTTTTCAATGACTTGTTCCAACCCAGAGTCTTTTTTCTGCTTTTTTGCGCTTTTCTTCTCCACAATAACTTCAGCCTCTCGCTTGTTCCCTGGGAAGTAGGAAGAGACGATATTCATTGAATCCAAAAGAACTTCGAAATATTAAAAAAACGGTGGGATCAATTACGTCTCTGAGAAAGAATAGATTTTTCTAACAAATAGTACCTTTCTTCATAGTCTTTTCTGGGACAACAACAGCAGGAGCAGGAGCAGCCTATAGAGAATTCAAAATCAGGGAATTGTGCACGACAACTAAAATTCATTCCCAACGAAATCGAAATTCTTAACTAAAAAAACGTGGGTATTCTACAAGAAATAATCACCTTGGAGGTTGATTTCTTGCCCATCTTGAGATTGAAGAAAGAAGCTTTAGATGATGGAGGCGTCGGCTGTAAACCCAAGAAAAATTAGGGTTTATAAGGAAGAGGATTGGAACGCGATGGATAGATATTTATACAAAATATTAGGGTTTAGAAGGAAATGTGTGAGGGCTGTTTGGCGGTAGCCTAAAGGGGCAAAAAATTAATGTGAACTTTTTTAAAGGGCAAAAATTGCAAAATGTGAATAATCTGCAAAAAAATAATTTAAAAATTGATTTTCTTCCCGTCAAACCGACCTTTTAGACAAAAATTAAAATATTTTATTTTAAATATTTGGGAGCAAAATTACTTTGAAAAACATGGAGTACTTTTTGTAATACTATTGCTTCTATTATAAGATACTCCGTAGTATTCTTTTCAACCTAATAAAGTACAAGAGCTAATTACTTGCCTCATATAGGGTATGATCATGGCTGCACTTTTTTTGTGAATTTTAGGGAGTAAACTTATGGGTTATGATCACTCAAGCAAAAAGAAAAATTCAAAAAACATGGAGTACATTTTTTAAAAGAAAAGCAATTTCATTAATTCATCAATAGGAGAAGAAAACTTAGGGGAGCAATGTCCCAAACAACAAAAGACGTATCACTCTCTCTATCCATAGTGATGGTGTAAATTACCACGCAAATGCTAAGTAAATTAATCGAAAGGTTATAGGTAGAAACACCTGTAACCCGGCTTGTAATTAATGATAATAAGAACTATTACAATCAGTACATGGCGTGTGGATTAATAAAAGCATGCCTCACAAATGAGGCTTTTAGGGGTATTTATAATAAAAACAAGCACGTCAAGCACGTCCTGACGTTCCTGTTCTTCCGGCCGGTTAGTCTTCAAGCCATCCAGTCTTCAGGTCATCCACCTGGGCAGTCTTCAGGTCATCCACCCGACAAGTCTTCAGGTCATCCACCTGGACAGTCTTCACGTCATCCACCCGGGCAGTCTTCAGGCCATCCACCCGGGCAGTCTTCAGGCCATCCACCCGGGCAGATTAACGGGGACGGTGAGGTCAAGCCTGGTCAGACTTTAAGCCTTATGCGAACGATCTCACATGTCTAACCCCCGACATCTACCCGGTCAGTCTACCGGGGTTGGTGAGGTCATGTGGGGTCAGCCTTCAAATCTCTCGGGTGCTTGTGTCATCCACCCGGCCAGTCTCCCGGGGTTGGTGACGTCAGGCGGGCCAGAATTTGGTACCCCGGGCGCCTGTGAATTTGCCGGGTGGTACTAGTGGATTATATCCATCACATAGTATAAGCTAAAACATAAAAAGAACATTGAACAAAATTAAGTGAGGCTAGTTCCCATGACATTAGAAATCAATGTCATGGGATGATCCTTTCAGGTGGCCCATTCGTAAAATTGATGGTTTGTTACCCCTAACCCCGGTAAATCTTCCACCACGCCCCACCCCGAACACATTCCCTCGCTCATTCAATTGCATCTCACAAATTAATTTTGATTTTGTACTCAAATTTTGACTTCAAAATCAAAATCAACGTGTGGGTGCAATTGAATGATGTGAGAGGGTGTGTTCGGTCGGGTGGGAGGGTTTATCGGGGGATTAGAGGTAGGAATTGTCAATTTTATGAATGAGGTACCACAGCGTCCTCGGGTCATCTCATAAATGGGACCCACTGGAACAAAGTTAATAGAAATGAAATTAAATCCAACTAAATTAGCTTTACACTCATCAATGGCACCCCCAAAGTATGACGGTATATCAAGACCAACCTTTTTACGTAACGACTTCACCATCCTAAGACAATCGGAAAAGAGCTCGACTCCACGCACACCACGACATCTTAACCACGAAAGGACTTCACAACATGCATAAGCTTCCACCACCAATGAACTTTGCACACGGTGAATAGGCCTATTACACGTTGCCTGATATCAAGCCTCACCACCACGTAATATTCCAATAAAACCAACACGTCGAGTCTGTGAGAAAATGTTATTGTTCACAAGGCATTGCAACACTCCAGGTCGACTGACTTGAAGGGGAAGGGCGGCTCCCTCGTGTCCAATAGCATGAAATCAACCCTATCTTTTGGCCCCAACACCACAAAGTGAATCATTTACAACCTGCCCACACGATGATCCTAAATGACGGTATTTTGACTTTTTTAAAGTAGTACCCAAATAGCCTAAGCCACCACCTTTAGCCCTCCCATTGAACAAACCTCAGATTATCGTTGGAAGCACGCCCAAAAATAACATATTTCTATCACCTCCAATATCTAGTCTCATCCACACTCCATTATCTAACGGGTGCCAAAGAAAGACATGTTCAAGTGACTCCTCGGACTTGCAAAAACCAGACAACAATTGTCAAGATTCATTCCTTTGGAATTAAGAACTGGGATGGTTCAAATGATACTTGAAAGATCACCTCATAAGCAAACCTTCACCTCCATGACCAACGGGATCTTCCAAAGTTATCCCCATTTTGAAAAGCCGTGTACACAATTTGTCTCGCCCATGAATTTACAATAAGCATCACTCATTGTGTACTCTCAATTCCCCCCTAGAAACACTAAGGATAAGATTTGAATTCGATTTCCAACAACTATGTTAGAAAGCAATTATGCTACGCATATCACCTCTACATGTTATCAATTACGGAGTACATGTTTACTCATTACCACTAATATGTGATCAAATCCTAATTTAAATATTCTTAGTGACTCTCTAATCAAGTCTAAAGATTGATGTCCCTCATATCTAGTCAAAGCTAATTAGATTATATTAGATCAAATTTTTAAAAAATGAGATGCAGTCTAAGATGAATAGAACATTGCCTTAGTTGCTTTTCTCTGTATTTTCTTAAGGCCCCGTTTGGTACACGAAAATCAAAATATGAAATTGAAATTGAGGACTTTAATTTTAATTCTGTTGTTTGGTAGCACAAAAATTATGTGGATTTAGAATCAGATAGTGCAAAAAATAAATTGAAATTGACGAATTCAATTCTATAGAATTGAATCACATGAAATTTTAATTCCAATTCAATTCCAATTCCATCAATTCCGTATACCAAATGGACCCTAAACCAAAATTGGATTATTATTGGGCCGGATCAATTGACTATAGAATGCGTAGTAATTAGCCTCAATGTGAAAAAACAAATCTCCACGATACCGGAAAATTTTTACGAATGTCCAATTGCATTAATTTCATTTATATATTCTTTTACATTTTCCTTTTGTGACATACTCCCCCGTTTTGAGTACTTTTTTACTTTTGATTTTTCTGATTAAAATTAATAAATTTTAACCTCAAATTAAATAAAAATCATATTGTATATTGATACAAAAAATTTTTATTAGATTTTTTATATCAAATATTTTTAAAATATTATTTTTATCTAATTAATATATAATATATATTTTATTTAATAATAAGTCAAAGCTTGAAAATAATTGACTGAAAAAGTCAAAACTGGACAAATACTATAAAACTATTCATGTTTTAGGGCGTTATTTCGTTTGCAAAAATTATGGTTCCTATCTCCAACCCACCCGACTGACTAGAATTCACCACGCGACCTCCTTTAATCTCACCTCAAAATTTAATTGGCTTCGAGATAAAAAAAATTAATGTCACCGAAACATCAACATATTTATTAATTTGAACTGTTTTTTAAGAATAATAACTTGAAAACTACAAAAAGCAGTGCAAATGAAGTAAAAAAGGTTGTTTTCATCCTTTTTGGAATCCAATAGGGGTGGGTAAACATATCTTTTTTAATTTTTTTTGGAATATGAGTCCAAAAATAATTATTTCTTTTACGATCTTAAATGAGTCTTATTCAAAAAAAAAAAATTGGACATCCCGAACAAAAACTTATCATCCCGAGCTATGCTTTCCCTTTTCAGTAAGTGTATATTTTACGCATCATATATATATATATATATATATATATATATATATATATATATATATATATTTCCTTTTTGTTTTTTTCATTTTATTTTGGATGAAAATATTAAATATTTACCCCAAGGGACATGGAGATATTTGGCCTCATTTCAAGATATAATTTTTATAAATCAATTTTTATAATATTTATTTTGGTATAATAATAGTTATTAATGATTAAAATGTAACAATAATACCCAGCAACTATAAAAAAATCAAATATAAATTTTTGGGAAAAAATAAAGTTCTCCTTCCATTCCAAAATGAATTACTCTTTAAACAACGTGCAAAATCTCATAATTATTTAGATGAGTTTATTTTTAAATTGATATAGATATAAAGTTTAAAACTTCTATATTTAAAGAATAAATAAAAATGTTTACAAAAAATTGTCATAAAAATATTTTATTTTACCAAATGATTAATTAAACATCAAATAAGTAAATATTATTGAAAGACAATAGTAATTAAAATGTACTCCCGTGTAAATTATTTTTTGAGATGGATTTACTGGCATTACACGGTAATACCGTATTGCCTTCAACTTGTAATCGCATTGTTATTGGGCTGGACCAAGTGACTTCGTAAACCTCAATGGACCTCAAATCTCTACATATGTCCATAACAATCACAACTTTTACTCGATATTTCAAAAATAATTTCAATTTTACTAAAATTTGAAAATTTTGGGTAACCGTTAAGTTACTAACGATGAGTTAATGGAAACAGCATGTTTTGCGCAACAAAATGAAAATTGAGAATATTTTTGATGAATTTTCATTTTTTAAATTTTTTTAAATTTTAATTTAAACTTTTAAAATGACTTTCTACCTCCATCATTTTTATTCTTTTAAAGTCTAACTTTAGATAAAAATAAAAAATAGATATAAAAAATAACAAAAATGGGAAAAGAACTAAAATCATTCTCCCCCGTCCCAAATTAAATTGATTGTTTACTATTCATAGATGCAAACTTCATTCACTTTCTTTCTTTTTCGGTAGTTATTTGATAAAATAGTATAGTTAGGTCACCACTAGTTTTGTATATCTTTTGATGTATTATTTTAATTTGTAATTTTTATTTATTTTTTAATTCTACACCGTTTTCAATAAAAATACACACTATACAGAGTATCAATGTATCCCTTTTTCTTATTTTTAGGAAAAATTATCTAGGACAATTCTAACTTTACCTGTTCTTACAAAAAATAAGTAGTACATTTATACTCAATCTGTATATATAGTGCATAAAACATTAGAGCACTTAACTTGTTATATTTTTATTTTGTTTCTTTTAAATTTCAGTTTAATTTTTTTTGATTACCTTATTTAATTTATTTCATTAATTTTGTATGTTTTAAGTCATTTTTTCTCATTTTGAGTTATTTATACCTATTTTTAAATTTTTTATAAGATGAAACTAATCTTTTTAAAAGGAAAAGAAATTGAAGTAGAAAGTCATTTTACAAATTTAAATTAAAAAAACACAAAAAATGAATATTGAACAAAGTACTCTAGAGTTGCAAATAATACTCGGGAGTGGGGACTTGGTAGGATTAGTGGTTTAATAATTTGCACAAAAAATAATAATTAGGAGAAGCAATTAATTAACTTGGGCACCAAGAAACTGCGAAAATATAATGGTCGTCCAAGGAGTGCTAGGATTAATTAACATGCATGGCCCTACCCTATATATATATATATATATATATATATATATATATATATATATATATATATATATATATATATATATATATATATATATACCTACACTACACATGCATCAACATATATTACCATATGCAATTGCTTCAAACAAACAAAGTCCAATTTCTCTTGCAAATTAATTCATAACACTGAGATGAAGACTGTGGGTTGTTCGTGTTCCGCTCTCTCTTTCTCTTTTCCCTCTTGTTGCTCCTCCACGGTGGCGCCGCCGGCGACGGTCCCAATAATCCTAGTAGGAGATACGGCGAGATCCCCCTCCCCGGCGGCCTCGGCCCTGAGAGCATAGCATTCGACTGCAACGGTGCCGGGCCCTACGTCGGCGTCTCCGACGGCAGGGTCCTCAAGTGGAACGGCCGGTCCCGCGGCTGGTCCGAGTTCTCCATCCCTCTCCCGAACCGGAACCGAGCTCTCTGCGACGGAACCACCGACCCGAACTCCGAACCTGTCTGCGGCCGGCCGCTGGGCCTCAAGTTCAACCGCGCCACCTGCGATCTCTACATCGCCGACGCCTACTTCGGCCTCCTCAGGGTGGGGCCCGCTGGCGGGTTCGCCGAGCATCTCGCCAACTCGGTGGAGGGAGTCCCGTTCCGGCTCACGAACGGTCTGGACATCGACGAGAGAACCGGAGTCGTGTACTTCACCGACAGCAGCGCGGTTTTCCAGCGCCGAGAATATCTCATGTCGTTCAACAGAGGAGAGAGAACCGGGAGGGTGTTGGCGTACCACGCGCGGGACAAGCGCGTGAGGGTTCTGTACAGGGGACTGGCTTTCCCCAACGGGATCGCCCTTAGCAGGGACGGGTCTTTCCTCGTAGTGGCGGAAGGCGGCACTCGGAGGCTGTACAAGTTCCGTCTCGGCGGCGGCGGCGGTTTGGCGCCGCCGGAGTTGTTTGCCCAGCTGATAAGGGCGCCGGATAACGTGAAGAGGAACCGGAGGGGGGAGTTTTGGGTGGCGCTGAACAGCGGGAGGTCGGAGCTGAGGGACGAGACGCTTGCCGCCGGCGGCGACGCCGTTAGAGATTCGATCGGGATCAAGTTTGCGGAAGACGGACGGATTGTGCAGTTTCTTGACGGCCACGGCAGCGACCGTTTGAGCTCCGTGAGTGAGGTGGAAGAGCATAACGGCAGATTCTATTTGGGTTCCGCCGTCAAACCTTACGTCGGCGTACTTCGCTTCTAGATTTTGAATTAATTAAATTTCATTAATCGTTACATTAATTACCTCTTTATTTTTTTATTGTTGCAGTTGTAATGTTAGACATCTATGACTGAAATCAGTTTTTAATAAATCAATGATTTTTTCTCAAAGTGATTACTTCTGAATTTTTTTGAAGGCAATTACTCTTTAATTATTTATCAGTTTAATTTAATGATATATGTATTGATTTAATTTCTAACCCTTGAAAAATTATTCACAATCCTAAAAACTAAGCCTTAATCACCATAATATTTTCTTGTGAGAAAATTAAAACCAATTTTTTTGGAAGGGAGGGAGTAACAAATAATCTATCTGCAGTGATTGACACGATTACTAATGCATTATGCATATAAAAAGGCATGAAAAGATTAAAAAAATGGTATGCATGTCAGATATTTGGTATATACCTTTAGTATAAGTTTGTGATATGGAGTAAAAATTTTGTTATTAGTGTAGTATGGTCCTTCTACATAGAGTACTAACATATCTAGAAAGACCAAAAAGGTCTTTTAATCAATGCATGTCAGATTTAAAAATATCAAGACAGAAACTTTAGTTCTATCTTACAGGTAATATATACTCCCTCCGTTCTATATCTTTCTTCTCGTTGCGCAAAACGAAGAAAAATCTCAAGTTTTTTCAATCTATTTTATTTAAATATTGGTATAGAAATAAAAAATAAAACATACATATTTAAATACTACATCAAAAGTTCAACAAAACAAGTGGTGACAAGAATATTTTATTTTATCATATAGGCCATGAAAAAATACAAATAAATATAAATTCTCGTGAAATTGGAATAGTGCTATGGGAAGAAAATTTTAGGACGGAGAGAGTAAATTTTTAAGCAACGGGGACACATCTTTCCTCTCAATTTGGGAGACTACAAAATAGGGGACAGTTCCCATAAAATTACCCGAAAATGTCATGGGATGACCCGAAGCCGCTCCAGTGTTCTGTTCGTAAAATTTACAGTTCGCACCCCCTAACCTCTCGATAAACTCCCAACCCCTACAAAATATGCACGTGCTTTATCACATTTTTGTAATGCAAACATATTTCAATTGTAGATATTTTACTTTTCAGTAGTATTATATAAAATTTTGTTGAGTCAAATTGAGTCATTAATTTAGGAAGAATTTAACTAAATAGAAAACATAACAATTTTCTCAATATAGTGTCATATGCTTTTGTTTTCTAATGTAGTATCACTGGTCATTATCTACTGGCAATTAATCAATAAAATTTTTTTACGCTAATAATAAATTGTTTGGAAACACTTGCTCTACATTTTCTAAACCTAGGAAAGAAGAAACAAATTGTGTACTTACCATTTCTCTTTCCTCCACAAAGGCTCTGTATGGCATCAACGTTAGAAGTAAGTGTTACTCCGTAGTATTTTGAAAAAGTCATCCAACTTTTAGCTTTGGGGTTTTCACAATTAATTTACATTATTAAAACTTTATCTAAAACACTAACATTAATAAAAAACACTTTCTCAAACAATGCCAAAGTAGAAGTGAAACACACAATCATGAAATTCAATTCAATCTTTGACAAAAAACATACCATTGGTTCATGAATGAGCAGCAAGGCACATACACTCACACACTAGCCATAAATAAAAACCTTAATTAGTATACATACATTTCCTAAAAAAAACAAGTTTGCTAAGCAAAAAAACCAGACCACAATCGCATCCAAACCCAACAGCCAGAAACTTTGGTTAAAGTGAATAAAACAACAGGCAAAACGCCACGCCCGGTGCCACAACCTAACACCCAAGCAGTACAAGTAGAAGTGCCAAACACGATGAATCAATCATATCAAATCAGCCACATTCATTGGCATTTCATCAATCTGCGTACTGTAGTATTGTTCCATGTCTCTCAGAATCTTGATATCATCAGTTTTTACAAAGTTTATGGCAACACCCTGGAACCAACAAATAGCAAATGAGATGTAATACCACTTCCCTTGCTTTTAACCTAAATTTCATCCATTCAAAGTGTCCGTTTAACAACAACTTCAGCGTTTAGTTTTAAATTTTGAAAAGACTATCTAGAAGCAGCATTTAACTTACCGTTTCCTATTTTAATTTGCACTATTGAAAATTTATCTAAAATGCTAACTGAAAAATTGTTCCCAAATAAGGCCAAAGTGTTCCAGGCTACATTGGATTTTTTTAGGACACCAAAAATACAAGCCAGCAAAGAACAGGAAAAAAATATACCTTCCGCCCAAAACGACCAGAACGACCAATGCGGTGAATATAGAGCTCTCTGTTGTTTGGAAGGTCATAGTTAATAACCAACGAAACCTGAAACATTAGAGTAAACGAAACATTACGATGATATGACTTCCAAATATGGATTCAAATGAGTTTAAGTAGCGTTGCAGGAACTCGTCTTTCATGGTCCCTATTGAAATGAATATGTGCTATAAAAAACCACATCTGAGGGTTGCAAAAAAAAAAAAAAAGATCTCACTTAAGAATTTTGCTTTGCAAAAGATCCAATCATTGTTCAAGCCAAATCAAGGATTTAGTTTTGGATTAAAAGATGGTTTAATAACATTGCCTGATGTGTTGTTAGCAAGATTTAAGAGCAGACGACTTAACTTGCCATCTAATCTAACTTTACTGAAATGATGTTATTTTAGGCTTTCTAGTTTCTAGACAACCTGTTCACAAAAGTAAACCAATTACATTAAGGTTTGCAATTCTATCTGGTAAGCATTCAAAACTAGCTACCTTCTATTTTATGGTTCCTATTTCTCACATACATGTGGTTCTATAGGTCTCTGATTTACTTGTTGATTTATACATTTGGATTTACAATTCCTTTTTAGGATGTCCCAAAATAGTGTTAACTTTATTTTCATGTTAAAGAAATGAAAATGTTTCTCTTCTAGACAAATTACAACCACACGTTTTACATTCCAACACTTTTCTTAAATCCCGAAGTCAACTGTAAATTGCATTTTGGGACAGAAGGAATAGTTAAATACATGTATGTGAAATTTGAACCACAAGGATAAAAGAGCTTGCCTGTTGAACATCCAAACCTCTAGCCCAAACATCTGTTGTAATGAGGACTCTAGTTGTGCCAGACCGAAACTCCTCCATTATTGCATCTCGCTCTCTTTGAGGCATATCCCCATGCATGGACGACACTGTAAAGTTACTTTCACGCATCTTGCTAGTGAGCCAATCCACCTGCCACAATATACTATGATCATTTGACTCGAGCAAAAACATTTCTGATTTCAGTTCTGATACTTTCTAAATGCCAGATAATCATTGTGGTCAAGAAACTGAAGTGATTTAAAAACTTGAACTGCATAATTTTAAAGGTATCATTATTGTTCTAGATTCTCAAATATATAATTCAAAGCTTAACATCTGACACTAACAGCCCATATATTGTATTTACACAAACACACACTCTCAATTTTGTATCGGGATTGATTTGCTTCTAGACGTTCCTTACGATATTTTCTAAAGACTTCAACATAAATACCATGATACCAAAATCCCAAATTCTAGAAAATGATTATGTGAAGAATAGAAAAAAATCATGCATAAACATTCTCAAACTCCGAGGAAAACGATACAAGCAAAAACGTAATTGTGTTACCTTACGTTTTGTGTTGCAAAAGATTACAGCTTGAGTGATGGTCAGGGTATCATAAAGATCAGTCAGTGTATCAAATTTCCAATCTTCCTTCTCAACAGCAACAAAAAACTGTTTGATGCCCTGGAATGAGAAGAAAAAATACAAATGTTTTACTGTATGTCTATTTTTCTCCTAACAATATAACTGTAGATCAAATAAATACTTACCTCTAGGGTCAACTCATCACGTTTTACAAGGATCCGAATAGGATCTGTCATAAACTTGCTTGTTATCTCAAGAATCTCATTTGGAAGTGTGGCAGAAATCAATACAACCTGTTTTTAATCAAGGTAAATATGTAAACTACTCCGTACATATTAATGCAAGTATTAAAACAGGAATATCAATAAAATAATGTAATTAAACAAAACATTTCAATCAGCGATGAGAAAACTTTATTCTGACTTTCAGTTAATGAAATTCAAGAGCATGAGTCGCATGAGATACACACCATAGTTGATGTACACCAAAGGCAGAAAACATGAATGTTGACTACGATAGGATCATAATAATTGTGAGTATGTGCAAGCATTGAGAAAGCTAGAGTAAATGTACATAAAAAGAAGAGGTAATAGATAACCTGAAGTTCTGGTGGAAGATATCTATAAACGTCATAAATCTGTTCCTTGAAACCACGGCTCAACATTTCATCAGATTCATCCTACAAAAACTCAAGGATCATTTTACAGTAAATATTACGGAGCATATGGCTTACCTTGTTTCATGGGAAGGTTAATATAAAGAAGAAAAGGGTAAGTCCACAAAAGAACAGTAGTGTACATCCATAGAAGGAAGAGCCACCAAACGTACCAAAATCAGTAGTTTTATAGCTCTCGTACGTAATGTTTTCCTCTTGATCATATCACATACTCTTCCAGGAGTTCCAGAAACAACATGAACACCATGCTCTAGTTTTCTGATATCCTCACCTACACTTTTGCCTCCAACACATGCATGTACCTGAATATTTATGTGATCGCCAATTGCCAATATCACCTTTTCTGTTTGTACTGCGAGCTCCCTTGTAGGAGACAATATCAATGCTTGAACCCTAACAAAAGAGAGAAAAATCCCTAAATCAATCTTATAAACGTTTTCTAAGTAGATCATACCCCAAACAGTCCTGCAGGGAGCAAGAAAATAAGGTATTCCATTGGGAAGCTGGATTCTCTCTTATTATCTCCAAGATATGGACTTATCATTCAGTTTAGGTGGACACAAGCAAAAAAGACAACACGAGTAATGTATTGTTTCTCGGGAAACTCAAGTTAAAAATAGATTACCTAAACAAGACATCTAAAAATACTAATAATTCCAAACTTCAACAACCACTTATAATCTAGAGATACAAACTATGTTCCATACTTCATATATCATATTATTAAAACAGCCAATGATGTACTTATCCGTAGTTGATATTCTTATAGGCGCAAAGTAGAATTTTTATGTGTTTACACATCAAAACTGGCACATCTGTGAACTTGTACTGCATATGAAAGGTTTTGCATTCCGTCTCCACAAGAGGACGACTAACAGAATCAGAAACACCGCATACCCTAACCAATTTCTGGGTAACTTTGTTTTACACCTTTCCAATGACTCAAACAGAACACTATGAAACAACAAACTAAGTTTACTCTAACCAAATTATATAATGTTTTAGAGAATTCTTACTCTGATGATCTGGTGTCGACCATTTGACAGACGGTGAGGGCAATCATGGAGGTCTTGCCAGTACCAGACTGAGCCTGAGCTATGACGTCACGCCCAGATAGGATGGGAAGAACGGCCCGCTGCTGGATTGCAGAGGGCTTCTCGAATCCGTACTCGTAAATCCCGCGCAAGACGTCGTCTTTGACGCCCATCTGTTCGAAGGTGGTTATGGGCTCCACGCCGTCTGAGGTCTCGAAGGTGAGCTTATCATCTTCCATGGCTCCCCTCCTCCGATTCGCCGGAATCACAGAACCATTGACCACCGTCGTCATACTCGATTTGAATCAACTTCGCGCAATTGGGTGCGGTGAAACTGAAGCCAACCCTAGTGAGAAACCAATATAGAAAAAAGAACTCAGTTGATTATATATGGACTATGGAGTATCTCTTTAGCCGACTCATCCATCCTATTATAAGGGTAGCGATGTCTTTTCACTTAGAGAGCCAAATGCTAAAATATATTCACTCCTAAAAACAATGTCACACTTTATTATTAAAAAATTATAAATATTTTATTTATTTATGCATTTTCATTAATTATTTGATAAAATAAAATACTTTTATTTTCTTCTTTTCTAGAATCTTTTGACATAATTTTTAAATAAAATAAAATCTATAATTATCCTTTATTAACAGATGGTTTTAATAATTAGTAATATATTATCAAATATTACGTCTAGATTTTTTCTTTTATGGGTATCTTTGCATAAATAGTCTTTTTCTTGACATTTTATCATGTTTGTATTAGTTTGAGGACTAAAAATATAATTTTACAATGATTATATATGTCTTTCTTGTTGTACTCAATGCCAAAAGTCGCTGCTGATGTGTCACATGCCAACTGAAGTTGTCAACAACCATAGTCTAGAGATATCGATATCGACTTTCATCAGAATCGTAGTCCACAGTCATACTCACTATTGTTGTGGTATCCGTCAAGCCAACATATCTATGTGCAATTAAATTTTTAGCCCTCAAATTAATATCAGCACAACAAAAAGTCAAAAAAGGATTATTCGTAGGAAATACCCATAAAAGGCTAACATTATATTTGATAATAGAAGACTAAATATAAAAAAATCTCCTATTATAAAAGGCTAAAGATATACGGAGTATTTGTTATGCAACTGGACATGAAGAAATAATAAAACATTAGGATAGCTTATTTAGAATCAAAATTTAAAGTATTTTGATATAAGAATGTTTCTAACTTTCTATCACTGACATATGATCAAACATACCTCCTCATTTGATTAAAAGAAACATACCTCCTCATATAAGCAACTTAATAAAATGAATAAGGAAATGCATAGAGTTGTGCTTCTAGCTCCATTGTGGATTCACCAGGTAAACCCTGATATTAATACCCTCCATTGCGGTACAACTTAAAAAAAAATCAAAGAAAAACTATTTTAAAAAACCAACAATTACTGCTATTTTTAACAATTATTAATGATTTAATCCAACAAAATTTTATATCAACTTGTCTCACAGACATGATGACCACATAGTTACAACAACAACAACAACAAAGAATTAAAAATATACAGATTCCTAATAAATGTGTATCTTTTAGCCTTATTGTTACAAAGATTTTTGCAAAGAGTTGTCACACTGTAGTGGTGTAACCTTGTTGCACTCCAGTTGAGGAAGAAAAATGCAATGTATGTGCTCTTTTTTCTCTTCCATACAAGTACTAAAGCACGTCGCTCCTTTGGGGAAGATACGGGGTAAATCTGTCATTGAGGTGTTATTGTCTACAGTGCCATTTGCATGCTCTCCTTCTTTTAAATTTCCGCACTTAGAAATGCATTTGGGGACGCATTTCTGCCTTCTTCTAGAAAATGTGCAAGAACGGACTGCAAAAAAAGTAGGCAATTTAATAGTTGTGGGTATGGATTAAAGCAATAAAAACTGGGTGACTTATTATTTGTGGCTATGGATTAAAGCATTATTAGATATCGTGGGTGTTTTACAGTTCTTATAAGCTGGCCAGAACTGCTTATGATGTTTTTAATTTTTAAGTCGGCTGATAATGTGTTCCTCTGTGTTGATAATGTGTTCCTCTGGTCTTACTTATTTTTATGTTAGTTTTTTCGGTTCTCCATTTTGACCAAATTATTTACAAAATTATCCTCGCCTTTTATGAATATTTCCAAATGACTTCTCACATTGTCATTTTACTTCCATGAAAAAGCATTTAACTTATAAGCACCTTATGAGTTAAAAACAGTCTATAAGCAATAATGCAGCACACACCCTCATCGTACGACATATTCTGATATATTGATGGATTCTAAACCAATGGGTACAGAAAGTAAAGAGACAAAGCTTTAAGCACATGTTGCAATGGAGTGATCATAATCTGATCCCCCTCTATCAGGTGGAGGGGTATACATTTCTATCATAACGGCAGAGCCCACACTTGTTTGGTACGGCCATGGGTCGAAGCCCGGGGTGCACTACCCCTTTTGTCCATATTTGCCTCTAGGCCTTACTCTAATGGGAGGACACATGGTTGTAATATTGCCCTTAGAGTAGTATGTGATCTTATCCGTTCTGCGGAAAAGTCTAGCATGGTTCCTCAACAAGGAGGTCAAGAATTCTCTTCTCGGTGTTATGTTAGGTCCAAAGCCTTGGGCCTTTGTTGCGGGCTCCTAGTCCAGGCCCATAGGTTGAGGACCCTGGTAGCGAGCCCGATATGTCCATCACATATAACAATTCTTAAAACACGGGTGGAGGATCAACATACCTGGGTGTTATATACCTGGTCATAGTGTGTGCTAGAAAGGAAGAAGGGTTCCTTCTCTCTTATCCCGCCGTTCTTAGCAAATATCCTTTCTAAATCCTGCAATTGCATATACAGCCAACTAAAATATTAGTCTCTACAAACGAAAACATGAAGCATAAAGTGTCATAAATTTCTAGAGAGACATGAAAATTGACACTAATAACGTGCCAAGAATTCATAGTGATGATTGGATGACTACTTCATCACCCAATAAATGTCACGCGTAAAATTTCACTTTTCATGACTCCCTCGAGCTTCCAAAAATTTTATTTAGTCACTTTCTGTCCTACAAAACTTAAAGATAAAGTGGTCATTAACAACTTGAAATTTGGCCCTGTTTCTCATTCTATCCATTCATCATATATTTCTATTTAGACGACACCCTCCATCCCATAACAAGAGTCCAATGTCATAAATGTACAACTCTATAGTTTTAATAAGGTACAACCAGTAAACATAATCAAAACATAATTTTAATAAGGTACAACTCTATAGTTTTAATAAGGTACAACCAGTAAACATAATTTTAAACCTATTTACCTTTTACCTTGTTTGGCATATTTTGGTTTTTAAATACATAGAATATAATGATAAATAGTATTTTCCTTCCATTGGACTCTTTTTGGGACAAAAATATTGAAAAATGCGGAGTACGACTTTTATGGGACACGTAGGGTATTACTATCAAAACATTGCAAGATTAATGAGGAATGAAATAGGGAGAAATACACCGCTTAGCCAATTAAGTGTCAATACCTCCACCATGAAAATGATTCATTTGCCAAGAACACTTTTGGTAATAAAAAAAGAGTTGCCCAGGTTTAAAAGATAAATGTCTTTTCTAAGGTAAAATTCTTACAGGAAGCGACTTTAGCCAATTACTCTCACCAATGATTTATGCTAAGTTATAAGGGTACAGGTGAGCAAACATAATTTCTAATAACTCCACCTTATTTAAGTTGACGAAGGAAGTAGTTCTTTCAAATAGAATTGTCTTTTTTTTGGGGGGGGGGGGGGAGCAATACTTTATAATAAATGGACAAATAATGAGTGAAATCAGAAGTATTTTCGGACTTGCTCTAAAGCACCTTACCTTCCCGGTCAAAATTTCGTATTCAAGCAACTCTTCGACAATCTTCTCAAGTACACCACGGTTACTTTGAAGCATTATTTTTGCTTTTTCGTAAGCCAGGTAGTAAATCTGCACAAAATTACTAGCTCATTGAACAAAACATTTCATTAAGATTGGCAGGCACTATAAGAACAAAAGTATCAACATTGCCAGGTCATCAGTTCAAGCCTTAGAAACAAATCAAGCTATCATAAATAAAGATAAGGTTCTAGACATTTTATAGTTTATACAAACACCTCATTATATCAAGATAGCTTCAATTAAAAGGGTCCATATTAAAATCAATTTGTATGTCCATTGAGTCATTGACCTTTTAATGAGAGCACTATGAAGCAAATTTCATTATTCTTCCTCGTGATACAAGTATTGTTAGGGGTGAACCGGGGGTCTTATCAAGTTGCTAATTTTGTGATGAATTTGTGGAGGAAATGAATGCGGAAGTATATGGGGCGAAATGTGGGAGGTGTTTTTGGAGTTCTTTTTTGTGTTTTTTGGAAGAAAAGAAGAGGTTTAGGAAGAGAATATGGGGAGGTACGAAATTTAAGAAAAAAAATAAGGAAGGGATAAACCAAGTTGGTGTTAAGAGATATGACACACCCTTATCTTAACTTGGGGTTGAGTCTAGAATTTAATTAAGATATGACACACTCAATTAAATAACTAGAACCTAAAACTCACACTTAAGATAACCACTCTTAAGATATAGAATTAGGAATTTGGCTAAAATAGCATCACACTATTTTA